TAAACGACCTAAGGTAGTGAAGACAGTCGAGGAACTGAAGAAAGTATGGGTTTACATGCAAAAAACGGTTGATTCAAAGGTTGTGCAGAATCTTATGGCCGGGGTTAAGGCCAAGGTGCGGGCATTTGCGTATGGACTGTAAATAAAATACGAGTAAAATGGTAAAATGAAGTTTAATAGTTATTTCTCAATCCCTGAAAATTTGATGGCAATCGGATGAAAACTCGAATTTTGCGAATCAATTTTGTGTGTGGCAATTTCATCGTGGACACCCTTTAACAATGTTTGGCTGCAGAACAGCTTATGCAGGCAAAAATTGGCTTATACAGCTGATTTTTTTTTACTGTTTAAGCTTTTCTGCTGCTTAATCTGCTTGATGGGTGAGTCGCGGAAAATGTTTTGCTGAATCTCAGCAAGCAAACGCTTTCAGTCGAGACCACAATAAAGCTTATTGCAGAGCTGCACACTTAGAAAAATTGATGTAAATTTAGGTGCTCTGAGACTGACATATACTAGCGTCAATTTTAAATAAAATTGAGTCATAATAGACGCAAAATTCAGCTAAATCAAACGTACTTTCGAAGGATTAGTAATTTCCATTTAATTCCATTACCTTATTTGCTTATCCTTGACACATACGCGTATTTCGTCTACAATGTGCAGACTTCTTCAGTGTCTTGTACTAATACTCGACTACAAGACACTGAAGAAGTCTGCACATTGTAGACGAAATACGCGTATCTGTCAAGGGTAAGCAAATAAGGTAGTGGAATTAAATGGAAATTACTAATCCTTCTCTCTTTCTCATTATTCAGGTATTCCAGTAAGACGCCCACATTCATCAGGGTACTTTCGAACTGTTCAGTCTCGGAGCACTTTATTTTACATGACATGTTTGTTTACGTTTCATCCTTTATGTCAAAGATGGATTCCCTCACGTGTAAGATTAGGTATTTCTAAGTGTGTGGTGCAGTGGTGCCGAAATGATCGAGATTAAGTAATCAAAGCTAAGTGGCATTAGTTTTGGCCATGTTTGTTTACTTTGTTCGGGTTATAATCACCCGACTTTATAGGAGAAAATGTGACTAAGCCTTTATAAACCGAATTAATTTGCACCCTTTTCGATATCCAAATTTAATTTACACCTTTATAAATAGAATAAAATGTGACTCTGCCTTTAGTAATGCTATTTGATTTGCACATTTTTTCGTAATCCAAATTTTATTTGCACCTTTAAAATGTGACTCCACTTTTCGTAATTCAAATTAATTTGCACCTTTATAGGAAAAAATGTGACTCCAGTTTTTGTAATCCAAATTAATTTGCACCTTTTTAGGATAAAATAAGACTCTTTTTCCGTAATCCAAATTAATTTGCATTTTTTTAAATCAAAACTATTTTGAAGCACCCGCATTTCGTAATTTAAATTCGTTTGCGCCATCACAGGAGAACATTTGACTTCGTTTATCGTAATCTAATTTAATTTCTTTCTTTATAAGCGAAAATATGACTGAACTTTTCGTAATCTCAATTGGTTTGTGCCTTTATAGGAGAAAATATGGATCCGCTTTTCGTAAATCATATTCGTTTGCGCCTTTATAAAGTCTGGAACGCGCAAAAAATGGTCAACTTCAAATTGGTGTATTTCTGTTCAAAATGCATAAAAAACCAGAAATGCTGCATTTGGAAGTTGAGTGTATATAAAATGGGTATTCATCGTTTGCTCTCCACTTTTCAAAATGACGTCCAAGCAAGAGGAGCAACGTGTTGAAATTTTGCTCGCGCAGCAAGAGAATCCGACGTTCTCACACGCCAAGTTGGCAAAATTGCTGGAAGTGGTCAAATCGACCGTGACAAACGTTTTAAAAGTGCTGTTGAAATTATCGAGATTAGGTAATCAAAGCTAAGTGTGTATGAATTGGCATTAGTTTTGGCCATTTTTTTTTAAATTTTTTCGTGTTATATTCACCCGACTTTATAGGAGAAAATGTGACTACGCCAGATTTGGTTTATAACCAAATTAATGTGCACCTTTTTTCGTAATCAAAATTAATTTGCACCTTTAAAATGTGACTCTACTTTTCGTAATTCAAATTAATTTGCGCCTTTATAGGAGAAAATGTGACTCCGCCTTTACTAGGGTTACTTCAACTCACTTCGCTATAAAAAATGTTTTTCGAAATTAAGGAATCATTGCATGGTATAATGATATTTTATACTTGTCAGATACAAGAAGAGGTTGGAAAGTATGTATTTGACACATAAAACCTGTCAATTAAGCTTCCAGTGCGTCACAAGCAGCGAAGTTAAGACACGTGAGCGTTCACTCAGAGTGAGCGCTCACGAATCGTAAAATCGATGATTGTGACGCAACGAAAGCAATTATGACAGGTTTTCTGTGTCAAATACATAGTTTACAACCTTTTCTTGTAACTTAAACGTACTAGTTATCATCATTATAAAACCTAATGATTTCATAATTCCGAAAAACAATTTTTTATAGCAAGTGAGTGGAAGAAACCCTGCTTTACACCTTAAAATGTGACTCTGCTTTTTGTGATCCAAAGTAATTTGCACCTTTTTTTCATATTACAAATTAATTTGCAGCTTTAAAGTATAAAATGTGACTCCGCCTTAAGTAATCCCGTTTAATTTGCACCTTTTTTTGCTATCCAAATTTGATTTGCACTTTTATAGTATAAAATATGACTCCGTTTTTCTTCATCCAAATTTATTTGCATCTTTATAAATAGGATAAAATGTGACTCCGCCTTTTGCAGCCCAAATTAATTTCCTCCTTTATGGGAGAAACTTTGACTTTGCTTTTCATAATCCAAATTCGTTTGCGCATTTATAGAAGATAATATGTCTCCGTTTTTCGTAATCCAATTTAGTTTGCACCTTAAAAGGATAAAATGTGTATCCGCTCCGATTAACTGAAAATCTTACACTGTCTTATAAGGGGAGTGAATGTTTAATAATCACCAAAAAAAAAAACCCTTGAATAATTTTTAGATGATCACATTCCAAATAAAATGCCGTAACATTTATTCACTGGTGGTATCTTCTCCAAATTAAAAGATTGTTTTCATTGCATTTACTTTTGAAGGTCTTACATTTCAGTCCATTTGAATCTAAACACGTTCAAATCAAGCGATATAACAAATGGAATTGAAATAAATAGTACAAGATTCGGAACCATACATTTCCATAATTCCTGACAATCAAAACAAACAAATTTCGAACAAACGTTTAACTTGATAAACAACAACAACGCAATTCAAATTCCGCAACTTTGGCTCACCGAGTTTCTCACTGATAACCAGACATGGGTAGCGTTGCGAAGAAATTAGGAATTTTGACCTAAACCGTGTCTTGAAAAACCGTGATCAGCACGTTTTTTTGGGCCATGGTTCGTGTAAATAGTGCTAATTTCTTCGTCCAGTTAGTTCTTGAGAATTTATCAATCGAAGAGACATTGGATTCATGAATAAAATACCTATTAATTTCAGTGTACCGTGACGCGTAGATCTCGGTTCACTAGCCAAGCCTTATCGGTGATAACAGAGTTCAATTCGCACAATTTTGGGATCTCGCTCTAACCAGCAACGTTTGTCCATTTCCATAGCATAGCACGAGATTGTTTTCACTTTGGCGATGACTAATTCGCCACTATACAGCGATGATCATAAACACGACGCACGACATCATCACCGGCTGACATAACGGTCGAAATCGAAAGATGTTTCCCCTTTCTTTGCTTCTTCCATTCGGGGATCCTCGCGAATTGGTACTCATTTACAGAAAACACGCAAAGTCATGCTGAATCGGATGTATTCCCAAACAAAAAACATAAACCCCCTTTGGATGTATTGGTTCCGTTTGGCGTGTTACATGTTGCTCTGTAAGTGCTTGGATACCTACGTATGTTGGCCCTCAATCATACCGGTGACGAAGGCGGTGGGTGCGTACACATCCACAATCATCATCATCGTTGCTGGTAGGTAAGTGGCCAAAACGAAACCACCGCAAAATAACATCAAAGAGATTCAAAGAGCTGGGTCACTAAACCAACCCTACAGTTTTACGAGGTCACCTCCAAACAGGTTGTTCTACCCCGTGTACCTATACATATAGTAAATATTACAGGCTGTGGCGAATGGAAAATTTTCTTATTTCTTAAGCGTCGATGATTTTGTTTTGCTCGCTAAATTATGTAGGGTGAGGTTCATAAAAAAATCTAACCGAATAAACAATTTATGGTAGATTGTTTTGCCTACATTTAGATCAGTATCAAAGCCAGTTTTTGGCTCAGGAGGTTCCCTTTTTGGCCCTATCTTAATTTTTATTCTTTTCCAAATTTGTTTCCATGCTCATATCTGCGCGAATAATACCATGATAGCTTATTCCAAATTTGAGTTAGGACTTAGAGCCAAAAACTGGCTCACTCACCCTGTGTGCGAATGTTATGTTTCGTCCCTATCATGTGTTTTGATACACAAATCGTTGCCATGGGCATCCATTAATCAATTTCCACATGGACTCACTTTACATAAACTAACAAATCGATCGTCCATGAAGTCTCGCCGGTCATCGACTCAGACTCATTGTTTCAAATAAATTCCCCTCGCTTCGCTCTACCAATTAAGTCCTAAAAGTGTGCGGTAGCGAATCGCAATCGAAGTGAGTTCGCCCCCTCATTCGCACAGCTGACTCGAGACCTACCAGTAGAAGCCGGGTAGAACGCGAACTCAGCAGCAATGTGTGTAGAAGCCAACGACGATAACCTCTCACAATACAACATAGGCCCGCAGCAAAGCGGTTATCAGCTGACACAAGCACAACGTGCTCCTGACAAACAAACCGATCGAATTTCACCACACAACAGTGAGAAAATCTCACCACACGCTACTACTGCAACACACGCGCTAATCACCATTGGAGGTCGCACTCTGCCGTTTCCAACAGACCTACTCAGACTTCCTACAGAGGAAACTCACCGCTGACTGTGTACTAATGCCTTCGGTACTTCACCACCAGAACCCGGATAAGACGGAGAATCACTGCACTGTGCCTATCGCTGCCCGGTGCGGCTCATTTTATATGGTAAAAATCGAATTCCGAGTTGATGAGACAAGTCTACTTCTGTCTCAATTCCAACTTATCCACGCGGTACTATTTTCGGGTTCAAGTCCAACTGCGCGCGGTAGTTCAAATATGTACAAACACACACAATGCACACGCGATTTGTCGTCGTTATTCGCCTTCCCCAGCCCCCCGGATTAACTTCCTCTTGTAGAGCAGACAAACTTAAAACGCTGAATATTGGGAATCACTGATAAAGAACACCTCGCACCGCACCGGTTGCCGGGGTGGGCACAGAAGTGCAAACAAAAACGTGTCGAGCGTGTTAGTTCTGCTACCTCGCGAGGAAGACTGCCCGAAAAAAAATAACAACAAAAATACATTAAAAAACAATGTAACAATAAGACGAAAATTATTGTCTTAACAATGATTTATATTGTTACGTCTACAATAAATTTACCTTGATTTATGTTGTACAAAACAATAAATTTCATGGTAAATGGAAAATTTACAATAAAAAAGGGGGGTTGTTAAGTATCTTAACAATGAAATTTTCGTTATTTTCCCATATAATTTTTTTTCAATAACATTATATATTATTGTTATTTTACTGTTGATTGGCGAATTTATTGATTAAAAAAAATAACAGTGTATTTTAGAGTGTATGTGTTGGCTTGACAGATCTACTTTATCGACTTTAAAAATAAATCGAAAAAATAAAACATTGCCCCGGGAAGGGAAGGGGGTGGTATGTCTGTTACGGGTGGTCCTTTTTTTTAGTGGTTATGGATCGAGATTCGATCCGGAACTTGTGAGAAATGCAGGCCAACTCCCCTGCGCTCGATATCCCTAGGTCACGTCTCCTTGGTGGTTGAGCGTCGTTGATAAGTTAATGCATTCGACTGGAGAGAATCGCCCATGAAATATGCTTCCACCTGAGAGTTTCTTCCTGACATCTTCAAGTGGTGGATTTTTTTATTATTATTGTATGATTATTGACTGCACGGAAAAGGTCTCCATTAAGCTTTAGAGCTCGCTTTAGAGAGGGTCTAGGATAAGATATGAGCGGACGCGGACTGCCTGGTTTTGAGCCAAACGAACTGTCAAAGCCAGAGCCATACGAGCAGCGCCTATCTTAATTACATTGGCAGTGTTGCTGACCCTCTCATAGTCTGCATGCTTGAATCAGATTTATTTTTATTGTTCGTGAAGTAACCCACAATGAAAATACACCAGTATTTAATGTAACAACAATTTTTATTGTAATAGAGTTGTTCATTATTGTTCATGATCGAATCATGTTAACAATAAAATAAATGAAAAATACGATAAAAATCATTGTAACAACATTTTATTATGTACATTCATTGTACAGCTAGGTAGCAGTTTTGCCGTTTTCGTAAGAGTACAACATTATAACAATCATTTTTATTGTCGACAATAAATATTAATGTTAGAGCATTGTTTCCACTGAAAATTTCACTGTAATTTTTTTTTCGGGTGGGCACCTCGCCGAACACTGCGGACTGAATGACTTGCGGAACTTGCACCGCGCGGCGACGTCGTCTCTGGTGGTGGGTAACTCGCGGAGGCACTCGATCGAGAGAATGCAGAAAGGAGAGATTGCAAAGTTCGAACGCAGAAGACTGTTTGTGGTGTTGTATTGCTATCGGGAGGTACTGGGAGGGGGGAGGGAGTCAATATTAGCAAAGTTTGTTCTTGGCTTGCTGTGCGAGGAGTGTGCCCGGGCGGCAGTGGGAGCCATTTGTGCCAATTTTAGATGGCGTGGAATAATTTTGCACACATATAGAGCGCACGATCAGTTTACTGGAGGATTACCGATTAAGAAAAAAAAAAATACAAAAGTATTTGCCTTATTCGTGGAGTTCACGTGGAATTTGAGTCACAATGGAAAATAACTTAGTATTTTTCGTTTTGATCATTTCTTGGTGGGAAAAGAAGTTAAACAGAGCTTATCGGATAATCGACCTTCTACACTGAAACAAATCGATATGTAGTCTTTACTAGAAGCACCATATGGTATAGTTATCAATACAAGAGCAAATTTTCACTACGTCGAATGTAACAAAGGTAAACAAAGTCGAGCTATCAGTGTCAATCGATGCTCCTGTTATTACACTATATACTGTACGAATATAGGATCACATCCCATTTTTAAATTTATTTACCAGTCGAATTGCTTTTTGACGTAATCACCTTCCGATCAAAAAAGTTTTCGATGTTACTTACGTCACCCGATTTCTATGGAGATGCCGTTTGTCTTAAGTAACAGCACTGAGAAACCCGTGAAAAGTGTACGTTCGTCGTTTCGCTTTCTCATTATCAAAGTGAATAAATCGAACTGTTTGTTGCTAAGATGATTTCGGTGGTCCTAAAATGATGAATAGGCTGCATGTAAGGAGACGTAATTGATAATTCTCCAGAATATCCTGGTAAATACACTATGACTTAAGTAACAATAGGGGCCACCAAACGACGTATAATAACTTTTGACTCAAAAACCAGTATTTCTTAGCATGAAAGCTAGCGATTTGCCTTTGTATGATTAAAACCCGGCTAAATATGTTAAACATTGCTATCGCTATGAGATTATATGTGTTTAATTGGAAATAGGAATAACTTTTCGGTCATCAAAACAAAACTTTATTTTTCTCGGATCGGTGCGAATGTTACTTACGGCATAATGAAAATTTGCTCTTGAATAGATTTATTAATTCTTTACGATGTTTCAAACATATCATATGTTTATAACAATACACTCAAGTCTCTTTTACCAGGGCGATACGTAGGGTAATTTGTCAATTTTTGCACAAGCACATGTTGTGCGTCTATCTTTAAAAACTGTCGCATTAATGGCTCTTCGCTCATTTTCAACTTCTATTCAATTTTCATACTGCCGTACTCTAACGGAACTATCCACCTACTCTCTTCTAAAAGATCATTTTCTAGCAAATAAATTATCCCACTAAAGCTTCATGTTAGCATTTCCAACCAACTGAACATCGCTAACTTCGCGTATGAAGTAACATAAAAACACTTTGAATGTTTGAACATGTTTTTTGTTAGTTCGCATTTTTACGAGATTGACAACTTTTTTAAATTAGATATTCCTCAATAAATCTTGCAATGCGATTAATGAAGCATTTCCAGAGCTAATAAGCAGTTTATATTTATAAAAGCTTTCCTTGTAATAAGTTTTTTTAAATGCACCTCAGAGCCCCATTGTTGCACGCATCGTTTGCAGTGAAATTAATGTTTTCAGCAAGAAGAATCATTCAGTGATTCTTTTAGATGATTAAACGTAACTGTTCGGTATAGTGTACTTACGATATTAGCTATTTTATTTATTTTATTGAACCAGCCAATGTTATCTAATTATTGAACATTATTACTTATTCTGTAAATTTTGCATGGTTGATAGATGTATTGCAATTAATCTATTGATAAAATAATAAATAACATTTTATAGCAAAGATTAATTGATTTTATTTCATTCAGCTTTTTTTTCCGTGTTGGGTGTATTCATCGCTGCGACCATTACTTTGATCTATTGTCATATTCCCCGTTTTTATATTTCTTTATTAGTTATGTCGTATCACTATTTTGTGAAGCGACCGACACAGACTGACCAAAAGCATTTTCCCAGCCAGGTATTACATTTCGAATGAAATGTACTGCTTTACTGGGACCTGCATTCCAAATATCAAAGGTTTCTGCCAGCCCCTTATCTAGAAAAATACGCCTTTTATTGAAGATTGCTGCACAAGAGCATAGCAGGTGTTCAGAGTCTTCCTTTTCTATACCACAGAATCGACACATATCCTCTTGAAGTTTTCCTATTAGCTTCAAATGATATTTACATGGACAATGTCCTGTTATCAAACCAGTATAGACACTGAGATCTTTCTTTGATAATTCAAGAATTTTGCTAGTCATTGAAATGTTCGGAATTATGAACAGTTTCGACTGCCTAGCAATGGAAGTGTTGTTCCAATTGGTCTCCACTTTCATTTTTTTTTTCATTTCTTGATCTCCATTTTAAGAGAACAAGTAGAAACTCCACAGAATGGTTCTGGTCCTATGAATTGCTGAGATGATCCTAGCCTGGCTAACGTATCGGCTTTTTCATTTCCTTCAATTCCACAGTGGCCAGGAACCCAATATAAGTTTACTTGGTTTTGACAGGCCAATTTCTGAAGTGACATTGCACATTCCCAAACGAGTTTGAAATTGCATGTTGCTGATTTTAAAGCATTTAATGCTGCTTGACTATCAGACATAATGCAGATATTCGAATGTTTATAATTTCAGCTAGTAATAGCTTATTTTACAACTGAGGATTATTAGCTAAAAAAATTAGAATTCGCTTGAAATCATATGCACAATGTCAAAAATGCTTATAACATGTATTAATACAATATTTCTTATACTGAATATCAAAAACACATGTTTGATCATTCAACAATTGATCACTGATTAGCATGGTAATCTGTGTGGGCATTGATAAATGCTACACAGTAAACAATGCGAAGTGTGCAACAATAGGCAAATTACCCTACCATATAAGAAAAACCCGCGTTATTTAAATAATCCGTACATTCAGTTCATCACGTTATACAGCAGATGGTCAGGCTAGATCCTGCCTAAAAAAATTGGTTTCAATTTGACATGAACGTGACGTATAACTGGCTCTGATTACCCAACGAATGAGACAGACAACTTTTTAAAAACTTAATGTAAGGTGAGGATTAGATCGGGGCTGTGGCGAGGACTGGGTGCGCGAACAAGGTAGAGCTCCACCGTAGGAGACAGTGCCCGGTCCGGTGGAGAAACCCCGACGGCAGAAAAAATAGAAACGTGAGGAACACACGATCAGTGCAGCCACCTACGGGGGTCTAGATTTGATCATACAAGTGGACTTCCTTCAGAAAGCCCATCAGCGCAGCCAACGTCGAGGGGTCGTAACCAAGCAGATTACTGACGTTCTCCGGGAGTCCATGTTGTTCGCGTAGCTTCTTGAACTCCGGGCAGACACACAGTACGTGTTCCACCAAAGCGGGGATGCTGCAAATTGAACAGACCTTGCAGGAAATCTTCGCATGGCCGGTCAGGAGTCTTGAGATGATCCGCTGGTCCTTGTACTTTTGGCTGTCCAGCCAAGAGCGTACGGTTTCCTTGATCTTCTTCAGGAAAGTGGTCTGCGACTGGAACCATTCCTGCTGCCAAGCTTCCATAATGAAATTCACAATCGAACGCCTGATGTCTAGGAGGGGTACGTTCCTGGTGTAGCGCACCGGTGAACACCACAGTGT